CGATTGTACTGGTAATACGTGGGAGCAATTCAGTAGTCCCGTCGTTGTTTCGTGGTTCGACACGGTTGGAGGTTGCCGCCTAGGGAGTCCCATCATTGTCTCTGGCTTGACGGCCGGCGTGCCTGAGCCTTGCAATTCTCGTGATGGAACCGCTGCTCCCTTTGGCGAGTGCATTGCTTGTGCACGTTGCCATTGCTTCCGCTGGCTCACAAACGTCTCGGTTGCCATTTCATCCGGCCCAACCAGCACACTTGCCACCTGTCTCGGCAACCTCTTGGCTCCAACATGCCACAAACATCGTCGAAGTGGCCCACGCCAGGCAAGGTGCGCACCCTTTCATACAGCATCCTTCCCATCGTGCTGGCTCGAGCTCATCCAGAGCCGTCATGGAACGTGTCGCACTCAGGGCCGCGCGGGGCAGCAGACGATTGCGCGCGTTGGCGACGGGTCCAACGTAGTTGGTACAGATCGTTTGCTTATAGTCGTGCGGTTCAAGTCCTGCGAGAGATATGGAGGGGGCATCGCATGCAAGCGCCGCTGTGCGATGCTGTGTTTCGATCATGACGGAGGTAGCGGCGTTCGATGACGCAGGGCGACATGATCGTCGTGTTCCAACAACGCTCAAACTTGCATGGGTGCAGCATGCCACTGTATGACAGCCAGAGAACGTGAGCAATCGCCAGCACATCGTTACCAACATCACAGTTTCCGCTAAACCACACGGCGGCAACATCGCGGGTTGGTGTCGCGGGAGGAACCAAGACAGCGCCTTTCACCTCTCATTTGAGGCGGTACTTGCTGTCGTTGGTCGGTTGCGTGTCCAAGAGGCTGATGGTCGGGGGGCGTCAAGCGCATGAGGTCCGTGCCATGGAACCAGCATGGGATGACCGTTCCGAGGTGCTGCTTCAAGTGGACTATACAATACATTCATTCAGTATAATTATGCATACATTTCCGATTTTTCCAAATCTTGACATGTGTGACACAGCGACAACAGTCCAACGAACGGACGACTTCGATCCGATATGTCCTAATCTTTCTGCGTATGACGGGGATTTTTCCCCATAGAATTGGGGTATGGAGATGCTGGCACGGCTTCAACACCGCGGGTAGCAAGCACAAAGTGGCTGTTGATAAAACACACCATCAGGAGCGTCCAGGTGGTAAACTCTTCATCTTGTTTACGGTAAGTCGAGGTCATAATCCCTTGGATTCGACGATGCATCCACGTTGAAGGAAAGTACCTCCTAATGCCGTCGAAACATTTGTCGCCTTGGGGAGAATTCCCAAGACATAGCTGTCAATGCCATCAATTCTCGCATGCTCTTCCCAAAGTCCGGATATCCAAATACCAGTCATCCAGGTGTGGCATGGTTGAGTTGGCCACCCGTCCATGGAGTTCACGTTGGCGATTCTGAGCTGCTTGGCCAGCGGCCCCCGTGCCTGCCAAGGTTTACAACTCCACCGCCCACATTTCCATCGACATCAAGCCCTCTTGCTTTGATCAGCCCACGATCGTGTTCCCGAACGGGTCCAACTCGACGTACGAGTGCTGGGTAAACCAGTTCCAGGGCTTCGACACTGACAGCCCCGACAGCTTCCTCAGCGACTGCAATGCACGGAACAACGGGTACTGCTTCTTCATTGGGAACGACCGGGTCACGGCGCCTTCCCTCGGCTACGACTACTACGTGACCTCGTTGAATCAGCACACGGCCACGGTGAGGCAATCCTCGTCGGACGCTGTGTGGAGACGCGTCGAGATGGCGTATGGCACGATGGGATTGTACTTTAACGCGGACGGGACATGCCGCGACGCGTACTGGCAAGGCGGAGACCTCAAGGTTCACCAGTGGGTATGCGAGTTTGGCAACGCGAACCAGTGGTGGCGCTATGCCATGCACAACGACATCCAGTTGTTCGAGCATGGCACGCACGTCGGGTGGTGCCTCCAAACGAATGGCTATGGATACAACGTCGAGATGGTGCGCTGCAACTGGGACATTGTCGAGCAGCAGCGCCGATTGTACTGGTAAACAAGCGCTATCCATTGCCGAGATGGACGTCTGCGCTCCCATCTTGCTCGACCAAGGAAGGTGGCATCGTCCCCCCGCTCACGCTTTTCCATGCCGTGTGAACGTCAGAACGATTCAGAAACAGCGGCGGCAGGCAGTGTGCATGTTGTCCTGCATAGCTCTCGCCACAGCCTCTGAGCCGACGATGACAGGCTTGGTTCACCCGCGGCACACCCTTTCAGTTGTGTTGCCAACGATTCATTCGGCTCGTGACCTTTGATACGAACCACGACTTTGCAGAACGGTTCGTTGAATTGTGGCTGCTGTCGTCTCGATTCTTGTTGCGCCATGATCCCCATGTGCCCATGACGCTGTCACACCAAGAAGTTGAACGAGGTCGGGGACAGAGGGGTTGGTCCGTCCTGACTGGTCGGCGTGTCGATACTGCGCCGTGGTTTTTGCTGCTGGATTCAGCCCTTGCTGGAACCGAAGCATCCTCCAGTGCCGCCGTGTGACGCCGTCGAAGTTGCCATCAATGTATGTACAAATTGTTCATCTAGTATTACTATCCTGTTCCGTCTACTGTTCCTTGGGAATGAGAGCATATTACTAGACATAGTTGGGGCATATACTAGTATCCAAGGAACAATCACACGATGGGGACGGGGAATTCCCGCAATGCAGTGCCGTCAGCACTGCGGGCCGAACGATGCTTTCCCGTTGCTTCGGTAGTTGCGGACACCGAGTACTCGATGTCGCATGCTGTCCTGTACGCGTACAAATTTACTCAACGCCACCCCCTCTTTCAGTGGAATGACGTGGAGAACGTTGCCCACGGCATGGGCTCGTCGTCGTCGTCCAAGCTGCACGTTCTTGTGGATATCGCTGACATGTCAGGGGAAGTCGGTGGCCGTGCATTGTTGTCAGTCATGCAGGTCTCTTCGTCCTTGCTTCTATCAACTACTTTCTCGTCCCAACCAAGCACCTACAAGCTCAAGGCGCTACTTGTGTCTCTTCGCCACACTTGCATCTTACCGATACTCGACGTCGACAAGCACCATGGCGGACACAACATCTTGATCGTCGCACAGCCATTCATCCCCACTGGGAGCATCAAGGACTTGATTTATTGCAACCCCGCCCCCACCAAGGAATACTCCACCAAGTACAATCGACCGGGCCGTCGCGTGCCACGCACGTTAATTAGTCGGTACGGTCGCCACGTGCTGGAGGTAGACATAAGCTCTGGGAAGTGCTCATACCCCACTAACTTAACCTACGCGCGTTGTACGATATAGGCACTGAGCGCACTTCGGTCGATCGGCGTGGTTTGCGACAACCTGGCCACGAGCACCGTCATGCTCGACCAAGACATTGCAAGGTACCAAAGTTTCGTCGAGCCATTATTGCAGTGTCGACAATTCTCATGCTTGACCAGGGTCTCCAACGTCTACGGCTCTATCCTTGGTCTAGATCGGGATGTTCACATGCAGGAGCTCACGTTGCCGCTGGAGGCGACGGTGCCGCTGGACCTGCTACTCTTCGGGTACTGTGATCGAATCGGCTGCTTTTTGTCACGACTGATCTCGAGTCCTCTGCACAAACCGCCGCCACTTTCTGGCGCTTTGTCTGTGGACAGACGGTGCGGATGTCGCTGCACACAAGAACGGATGCATCCGCTGGTCGACGCCTCAGTTGCTTGTCGTAGTCACTTTTTGTACGAAATGGCGACGGGACGCGAATTGAGCGCCGTGGTGCCGGCTGAATCGGACCTCGTTGGCGCGATTCCTCTCGACGTTGCTGATGTGCGTACCACGCTGTGTGTCGACACACATTGCTCCTGAACGATGGACGTGCTGCATGACGCAGGTTCTTCGGCGCATCTTCTTCCCGACCGCGGCGGCATTGCAGCTGACGGTGCAAGACCTCGTCGACATGCCGCTGTTTGCGTCGGTCCACGTGCCGCCGAGCGCTGCATTCGACGAACAGGTGCGATCGCGGCCACGACGCACGCGGTTAGTCGGGGCTCGTAGATGTTGGACGCCACGTCCGCCACGCTGCTCCAAACCAGCATTCGCCTCAACGACGACCGGCGATGGCGGCGCGCGCACGACTACCACGAAGCCATGCAAGCAGCCAAGCCGGAGAGAGCTGAAAAGAAGGTGGCCAGCGTTGCCGCGTCCGCGAGGAGATCCGTTGGACGAGCGAGCGGCGGAAAACATCCGCCTTCGCGCCGCGTATCGTATCGCCGCACGACGCCCCTCCCAACGTCGGCAACGGCCTAGACCGAGCTCGACGTGTGGATTTCGCGTTGGCCTCGCAATCGCATGAAAAAAATCCACTTGTTCGCGGGAAACGGACCTTGACCCGACATACGCATGGTGTGGTAGAAGCCACACATCCTCGATGCAGTGTCGACAGCGATCGCAGGATGGAAACTCGCTCGTGAAGGGGTTGGATTTGAAGCATCTGTGCCCACGACGTCGAGTGAAAGAGCGATGCGAAGGATATCTGTGCCGTCGATGCACATCTGCATCACATGTAGCACATACACGACATGCGACTGTCCGCATTTGCATCATCTTCCTCTTTTGAGCGGCAAAACGGAGGCATGGCGCCGACACACTCCAGACGTCCTCTACAAGATTACTTGACGTTGACGCTGCTGTGTGCATGCGAGTTTGCATCGTTCTACTCGAATGGACAAAGAGGTTCTTGCCACATGCATTTGGAGCAGAGGCGACGGCCAGTTCAGGCGCTAGGAACGGTCTTGGCTCCGTTGTGTGCGCCGCCGTCGATGACATTGGAATGTTCATCGGAGGAATCCTTCCAGATATGATCACGAAATATTTATTTTCAAAGGTTCTGTTCTCTATTGTTTGGTGGTGGATTGGTATTATTGACAGAACGCACGATGAGCAAGAAAGTCCCTGCCGCCGTCGCGGCGTCCGTGGAGAAAGAACATGACGAACGCACGGACGTCGAAGAAGAAGAAGACGACGAGGAACAACCTGTCGTGGAAGAGGACAAGAGCAAAGCGGAAGAGGCGAGCGCCATGAACAACATGAACGCGGGTGACGACGACAAGGACGGCAAGGACGACGTTGACGTTGGTTCGCTCAGAAAGCTCCTGACATCGCTCAAGGCACAGGAAGAGCAAGACAAGGAAGCCACAGCGAAGCGGGAAAAGGAGTTGGCAGCCATCAAAGTGAACAAGGACGACGTTGCCTTGCTCGCGTCCGAGCTGTTGCTGACCCCCGCGCAAGCAGAGCGCAAGCTGCGTGAAGCCCACGGAGACCTCCATGGATGCTTGAAAGCAGCTCTGCGATTGCCGTAGAGACTGCCAAATATTGTAAACCTACTTTTCTATTGCGACTTTGTTGCTCAGCATTGGCGCTAGATCGCTGTCCGCGCCTCGAAGCATCGAGCTTCGCCGGGTCTTGTGCAAGTTGACCGTTTCCAAAATCTTGACAAATTTGTACAGCAGTTCGGTCGTGTTGCGGTTCCGAGGACTGAGCACGATGTTCTCCTTGAACTGCGTGCATGCGTCCTGGGACGAAATGTGCGTTGCATGCGCGTAGGGTTCAAAAGCGGCCATCATCGCGCGGAACTGCGGGGCTTTCTTGAAGCGTGGAAAATTGTCTTTGGCGACGAGCCGCGCGATCTCGAGTCGCGCCGGCTCGAACATGGTGAGTTCGACCGCCATCTCGTCCACCTCACCCATCCCTGCGTCAATGACGGACATGCTCGCCAGGATTCCTTCGCGCATGTGATGATCAATGTTCACTTGCTTGGGGGCGTTTGCTTGGATGTATGTGTCCACGATGTGCCGAGCCAGGGACCGCCGCTGCCCGACCGTCGCCATCGCCATGTACCTATCCGCAGCAGTGGGTAGTACATGCATTCCTCGAAACTGCGGGAATGTATGTACGTCTGCAATTCCATCAAGAAGAGCACGTTCTCGTCCGAGAACTCGGACTTGCAGAAGTCGACGAGGTACTCCCGTGCCTTGGGATGCTGCATGACATGCTTTACGTCGCAGGCGTCCCGAGTCCATCGAATGAACATCTCGGCGGTGTCGATGGGCGACGTCTCGATGACCTCGGCAATCGCGTCGTGGGCGCACGTGAACAGGACGCACTTGGACTTGGCAACAACGCTTCGTTGTACGAGGGGTGACCCGGTTTTGGCAGGAACGAGCGACCCAAATGCGCCAAAGTGGCTCCCCGGACCGAGAGAACACGTCATCGTCGAGTCGGGCGTGGCGTCGACGACTTCGACGGACCCGCAGATCACGATCGAAAACTGCTGCGGGTACATGTCGGGCGTCACGATGACGTCGCCAGGTGAAAAATGGTCCTCGACTTGAAAGTGCCGACTCAGGGCCATGATTTGGCGGTACTCGATCGCGCTAAAGAACGGCACGATGTTGGCAGTGAGCGCTTTCTTCATGAGGCGATCTTGGAGCAGGCTCGTCATGGTTCCTTTGACCTCTTTGTTGTCAGCCAGAAAATCCAGGAACGCCTTGCGCTCAATACTGAGCAGCATCGCGTTCTCCACGACAGTGACGGTCGCGGCACGGGGCACACGCGTCATGAGGGCCATCTCGCCAAAGCACGAGCCAGGTTGCAATGTCGCAAGCACAAGCGGAGGTTCTCCTGGGACTTTACTTTGCACAGTGACTTCGAGCGATCCGGCCAGAATGATAAACATCTCGGATCCTTCTTCGTCGTTCTCGCGGAAGATCACCACACTACAACAAGCTTGTCAGTTCCAACCATGCCTCCATTCCGTCCATCAAAGCGCGATGAATTCCACTCCTGGCTACGTCAGCATACGCGCAATGGACAACTGGTCGCCCCACCGAAGCGCCACCACATCATCCAAGTGAACGCAGCACAGACACCCCCATCATGCAGGACGCCAGAACAAGAACGTGCCAAAAAAACACGGTCGCCGAGATCGTGAGAGCAGGATAGCCAGAGTACTCGTGACCGGGCGGCAGGTTTGGCTTTTTTGAGTGGACTGCGCCGCGGTCCGCCCCAAGCCAGCCCCCGCATTGCAGCGAGGCAACGGCATTCCCATGGCAGCAGCCACCCCCACGCTCCGCCATCCATTCACACAAGCAAAGACGGCGCGCCGTGCATCGCGAATTCAAGTCATCAACGTACTCTGGGGCGAGGACACTGATTGTGGACAAGTCGGCGAGCCGAACGAGCTTTTCGTCCGAGAGGTCGGCGAAGAACGAAACGGACCGGAGCAGTGTGAGCGAGTCCGAGTTAAGCACGTTGTTGAGGAGGTAGTACACGCCGGCCGAGTGGGCATCGTACTTGGTCGTCTGGCGCTCGAGAGCGATGACCTTGGCGCGTTTGACGACTTGCAACGACGTCGCGCGGAAGCTCTTGATGATGACTTCGTTCCCGTTCATCTTGTTCACGACGAAGCGGAGAAGAAACTCGCTGGCGAGGGCGAGCTTCGCGTCGGACGCGTACACGGACACGAGCATCTCTTCTGTGTCGATCACAAACTTGTTGTCGTTCTCGATCACGCTCTTGTGAAACACGCGGCTGAACGAAAACCCGGCCGCCGTCGAGAGCCGCTTGAGGCCAAGGTATTGCTTCTGCGGCCCGATCTTGAACAGGACCGTGCCGATTTTCGGGATCACGGCCGTGAGCTCGCCTTCGTAGCACAGCGCGAATTTGCACCGGTGGTTGATCAACGGAAACGTTGGCACGACGACGCGGCCGACGCTGAGCGTGCTTAGCGTTTCCAGGTCGTCTTCGACAAACAAGGGCGACAGCAGGCTCGCCCCCCACAGGTCTTGCTTCTCTTTGTAGCTCAGTTTTCCGTACGTGAGGCCCATGACGGGAGAGTCGACGCGCTCGAAGGACGAGCCGGGGAAGGCGCCGTCGACTCGCACGCCGCGCCACGACTATTTTTATACGAGTCGACAACGCCGGGCGAAACCGCCCTCATGACGTGGCACCGTGCGACGACATCGCATGGCAGTTTGTGCGTTGCATGGATGCACCCATCGGACCACGAGCGTCCACTGCCATTGTAGGTAAACGTGGCGATTGCGTTTTCCGACTGCAGGACGCGAAGCTGGAGGAACGATCCAAGTTGCTGCGGCGGCGGCTACGAACAGCAGTGACTCGTTCCATTGCAAATGCGTGCGAGGACGGCCATGCGTTCGTTCGGGAAAGATCCTGGCGCTGGAAGGCATACCGCCTGCGACGCAGCGTGACGTGACCGTGCGATTAAGTGTTCATCGCTCCCTCCCGCTGCTTTTCGATCGATGGATCGCATTTGCGATCCCTGCAAACGCTTCCCGTGACGACCCGATGCCGTGTGTCCGGCTCAAGTCCCGCCGCAGATCCCTGTGGGCAAACACTTGGTCCAGGACGTGGTTGAAGCGCTTGCCGATGTCGGCATGTTCGCCTCTGTCGGCGTCCGGACCTTCCGTCGTCGTGGCGTCGGCGGTCCGCTTTTGGTGGTCCAGCGCAGGAAACGCGGCCAGCATGTCCTTGAAGAACGGCGTCTTCTTGAACCGGGGAAAGCTGTCTTTCCGCATCAACGTGGTGATTTCGTCGACGGCTTTGTCAAAGATCCCGTTTTGTGCTTCGTCGACGACGTGCGGCAGCGCCGCCACGATGTCGTTGCGCATCTTGGCGTCGACATTCACCTGCTTGGGAGACGACTCGAGGATGTACTCGGCCACAATTGCCTTGGCATCGACGGCGACGGTCGGGCTAAACTTGAACGCTTGAACGTCGATCACGAACAACAAGTTTTCGTCGCTAAACTCGAACGAGAGAAATCGCAGGTAATACTGCCGCGCGGGAGGATGCCGCAGCACCATGTCGACGGTGCAGTTGGTTTGGTGCCATCGGATCAGCGCTTCCGCCTTGGCTTGCCCGGTCAAGTGCCCCCAGCACAAGTCGTTGTGAACAGACAGGAACGCGCAGTCGGTCGACGCCACGGCGCGCGTGCCTGGCGCCATCGCCTCCATTCCCGGCATGAGCTCGCCAATGTACCTACCGCAACGCACCCATGAGCGCATATGCCGTTGTCATGGCGACAGTCGCACCCAGCCTGCCGGAATTCGCTCGCGCTTCCAGAAGTCGCAGGGATGATCTCCACCGTGCCGGACAAAATGATGCGAAACCTTCTCTTTGCTGCACGCGCCGTCGCTGTTGTTGTTCCTGCTCCGTCGGCCTGGTCGTCGCTTTCGACTGCACCACAGCGCGTTGACGCATCGAGACAACTACGTGTCGATCGTACCATGGAGCTCGGTCCCGCGGGCGACGCTGTGCTCGATGAAAAAGTGCGGCACGAGCTTCATCACGTCGTCGTACTGGAACGCGTCGAACATCGGGACGGACCGCTTCCCGACGGCGTTTTGCAGGAGGCGGGTGACCAGGACCGATTTCAAGTTGGCTTCGACCTTGGGGTGCCGCCGCAGAAACGACAAGAGTGTGCTGCGCTCGATGCTGACGAGCATGCAGTTTGTGATGGCCGTGACGCTGGCGGTCCGGGGACCCCGCAACAGCAACGTCATTTCGCCCATGCATGACCCCGAGTGCAGCGTCGCGACGGGCTTGAGCACCTTGGTCTCCTAGAGTGTGCCCCGACCATGAGCGGCGGCGGCACGCGCGCACCATGGCGAACGTACTTGGTCGCGAACACACACACGAAGGTCGCCCGCGAGCACGACAAACATCTCGTGCCCGCCATCTTCGCGCTCTTGCATGACAGCCTACGGATCGAGCGATGGTCATGTGGACCGGTGGCCCATGCGCATCATCGTACACAGTCGTTTTGCACGATCGAGATGGTCCCCATGTCGCTGAGCGCGGTCAGGTCCGTGTGGCTGATCCCGGCAAAGTAGGGGCTCGATTGAAGGATCGACGCACAGTCTTCCGTGATGGGCACGTTGCCTGGGTCGACCGGCGTCGTCGCGTTCGTGGAGTGGTGGCTGGTGCTGCCGACGGCGGCGGATGTGGCCATTGGGGACGCGCCGCCGGCCCCGTGCTGCGTCGACCCCCGTTTCGGGACGATCGGGACCAGCGAGTTGAATCGCCCCCACGTCGCGCCTCGTGGGTTGCTCGGTACGATCGGGGGCAGCGCCATCGCTCGCGACTTGGCTTTCACGTCGACTTGCGTGACCAAGAGCGACTTGACCACGACTTCGTGCGATCGAATCTTGGACGCGACAAAGCGGAGGAGGTACGTGCCACCGCTGTGGCCGCCACGTCGACACAGCATCACTTCCTCCGTCGCATGTTCGCGGTCGATGGCATAACATCGTAGCCGCACGGCGAGCGAGTCCTCTCGATGCAGGAGCGAGCGGCGGCGCGCGCCACTGCGTTTCGTTCGCTCAATGAGAAACGACACCGTGCCAACGTCCAGGACCGTGGCGGTGATGTGGCCGCTGTAGATAAAGAGGAGGTGCATGTCGTCGGGAATGATGTGGGTCGACGACCGAGGGGTGAGTACGATTTCATGCGAGACAGCGGCGAGCGACGGCAACGACCGGATCGAGTAGAGCGGGGCGAGGAGCGACGCGCCCCACAGGGTTTCTTTGCGCTTGACGGCGGCCGATTCGTGGTGCAGGTACGACAGCACACCGACTTTGGACCGACTGAAGGCGCCCCCCATGGTCCCACACGATCGACGGCCAGCAACGACGCAGCGACAAGGGACTCCCGATATAAATATCGCGTGTAACCGGTCGAGAGCAGTCGTCGTCACAAAGGCAGGACCAGCCTCTCGCTCTTCGTCCGTCGATCGACGTGCCCATCTCGATTGCAAGGCCAACGAGGCATCGGCAGTGCCCACCCTGCCGTCCCCCTTTGCAGGAATCGTCACGGGCGTTGCCCACGATGTGGTGGGCTCGAAACCACGCCGTCGAAACACATCGTGCTCCTCGTCCATGGAAGCGATGGCCCCGCGTCCGCCATGGACGCTGAAGCGTCGCCAGCCACTCGTGACCATCCATGCGCTCGTTTGAGATTCCCTCTCGCGCTGGGCGCAATTGGTGGCCCCCCACATACACACACCTCCACAGACATGCATCCATTTCGCAATTTGCATTCCTTGGCGGTAGACAACGACAACTTAGGCGGCAAACAACGACGTGCGCGGCTGGTGGCGCACTAGCAACGGCCGCACTTGCGTCGTGGGAAAGTATTGCTCCAAAAAGTACGACAGTTCGAGCGGTTCACCCAACGGGGGCGGCATCGCTTGCATCTGCTCGTGGATCGCTGCCGCGTGCCCGACGAATCGCGGCGGCATCGCCAGCATTTGATTTTGTTCGGCTTCGACGCTGCCGTGGAGTTGGACGAGGTCGTACTACCGACAGTCCGGGCAAATGCTAGCCATCCATTCAAGACCGTCCTACCTCGAGGTTCTTGACAAGAGACAAGTAGCACACAATGAACTTGTGCACGATCGACGTCAGGTTGGTGCTGCTCTCGCGCTCGATGGCCTGCACGAGGTGGAGCGGTCGGACGGCGACACGGACGCGTACCTGCTGTGTGGCAGTCATCGCGTCGAGCGCCTGGGCGTACTCGCCGGCAACCTTGCGAAACAGTTTGTACTGGACGATGCATGTGGCCTTGTTGCTCTTTGCACGACGGATGGCGTCGGCGACTTGGCGAACGATTTTCTTCGAGCCAAGCGCCGGCGACGAATCGACGGGCGGTATCGTCGTCGTCGTGCTGCTCTGAGTCGCTTGGATCGCAGATGCATCGTCGACATCGAGAAACAAATTGGGGTCGATGCCGCAGTCGATCGCTCGAGCCAACAATTCACTCGACTGTGTAAAAGACGTGTTGAATGCAGTCCATGCCGACGCATACGCTTGCTTGGCAGCCTATGCATCCATGTGTCCCTGTTAGTCGGTGAGATCGTTGAGGCAGCGCGAACAGCGCACGTTGAATGCCGATTCTTGAGCGTTTGTCTCCTGCACCAAGCACTCCATTTGGTCGACTTGGCGCTGAAGCTCTGTTTGGAGCTCGTCGAGGTCCAATGGAAGGTTAACACAGAGTTCCTCAGGGGCGCTCGCGGCATGTGCAAACAGCTCCGACACGTGGGTCAGAACCCCTCGGAGCGATTCCGATCCCACGGCGGCCTCTTCCAAGACGCCGCAAGCTTTCGACGCAAACGTACGCAGCTCGTCCTGGTGCTTTTTCTGAAGCGAAATGTACCCTCGCAACGTCGACGCAAGGACGTCCGTGGCATGTAGCCACGCCGAGCGCTTCCACCGCGGTGCCGCCATACCTTGTGCAGATCAAAGTCGATCCAAATGAGAGTGTTGGCTCCAAATTTTACAAATTTCCAATCTTGTTACAAAATCCCATATAATAGAATGATTTGTATAAATGACAGATTTCTTCAACTTGAATGCAGGTCATCCTCGCTCATACTTTAATCTACTGTGCCAAGTCATCCGGTTAAGCTTCCGGATTGTACTTCCTTGCGTGCGAATGGTTTTCCGAGCAGGTGCGACGACGATGGAGAGCGAGGCTCTGGCGGCGGCCGCGGCATTCCCGCTGACTCCACCGCGGCAATACTTAATCATTAACAACATCCAGAAGCGCAAGAACATCCGCGACATGCTCCTTAGCGCAGCCGCATTTGGTGTCGTGGAAGTTCTTGTCGTCGGACAGAAACTGCTGAGCTTCGACCAAGCCATGAACATCGAAGACGTCCTGCCCAATTTTCAGTTTCCGTTCCGCATTACGCGATTTGCGACGCTGGGCGAGTGCCGCGCCCATCTCGTGGCTGTTGAACCGACCGTGACGATCTTGGGGATCGAGATCCTGCACAACGCCAAGAGCGTGAACGACCCCGACGTGTTTGCCGGTCCCACGGCCGTTATGGCAGGAAACGAAGGCAGCGGGCTGAGCGACGCACAGCTTGCGATTTGCGATCGATTCGTGTACATTCCGCAATACGGCGGCGGCACCGCGTCACTCAACGTGACGGTGGCCACGTCCGTTGTCATGCATGCGTTTGCGTTGTGGGCTGACGACTCCACCCCTCTAACATGACCTATTTTGTCTCATGGTGCATCACCGAGCCTGCCTTGGCGACGCCATCGCATCGACTCCATCCACGCGCCCATCGTCGTCGGCACACTTTTTTGCGGTTGAATCTCCAGATTCGCGCACGCCAACCACACGATCTTTCACCATGTGGTCGACGCTCCGACTGTCGCATGTGGGTGACAAACATGGCGCACGTCTGGCTCCCCGATCAGCGCTTCCGTCTCCCTCGCACCGCCATATCCCCCGCACATGCAGATCGCGATCTCGCCGAGCCGTGCGGCGTCGTGCTGGGGCTTTGCCGCACGGGCAAAGGAGTGGTCGTTTGCGACCGCGTTGGGTGTTCCTCCACCAACGTCGCATGCAAATGTATATGGGTTTCAACTATTCAACTTCTTTTCCATGCTTAAACATGCATATGTTTTATACGTCGATCGTCTCACTTGATTTCGAAAGGCGCCTGGCGATTGCACCAAGCAGCCACCTCAACGTTGGTCTCACCCGCGGCCGGCGCCGTTGCCCGCAGGCCAGTGTCCAGCTTTCGTCCGCCATGCCAGCGCCATCTTCGTCGACGCGCCATCGCTGGAGCTTTAACTTTGAGGTCGAGCAGGATTTCCAACCCGGACGTATGTACCCCCCCGTGATGTCCATACCGTGTTCTCACCGAGGTCGATACAGCATCGTGGGCATTCCCTGGGCCAGGCCGATCGCAAAACTTGCACATGCCCGCGACCGAGGTCGCGGCGATCGAGACAGAACTCGAAAAGGCCTGCCCCCACGCGCTTGGCGAATGGACGAGCACGGCGATCACCGGCAACGACGTGCTGTCGTCGTGCTTGTACTCGTCTGGGATTGTCGCGTCCAAGGCGGGAAAGCTCGCGCCGGTCGCCAACATCCTTGTCGCAGCGACCATGTACCTGTTTCGATTCATTTACATCGAAGTCGTGAGTGCGATTCCCCTCAACGGCGGGTCGTACAACACGATGCTCAACACAACGTCCAAGCGATGGGCAGCGTTCGTGTCGGCGCTCGCGATCATTGCCTACTTGGCCACGGGGGTTGTGTCGGCCGTGTCGGCGTCCGACTACCTCCAAAAGGAAGTGCCTGGGCTCGACACGATCTGGTCCGCGACCGGCATCCTCACCGTGTTTGCCATCCTCAACGTGTGCGGGCTCAACGACAGCGCGGTCGTCGCGCTCATCATTTTCGCAGTGCACACGTTGACGCTGATCGGGCTCGTTCTCGCGTCCGTTGTGTACGCGGTGCAGCACCCGCACATCTTTTGGAGCAACATGGGCACGCCGTTTCCGTCGCTCGATGTTGAAGGCCACGACCTGCCCGGGAATGCCGCGACCGCGCTCTTCTTTGGCTTTAGCTCGGCCATGCTCGGGGTCACCGGGTTCGAGACCGCGGCCAACTTTGTCGAGGAGCAAGCGCCCGGCACGTTTCGCAAAATCCTGCGGGTACGCACGCCATGCTGCATGGTCGCAGCGCCATCTCATCGTGTGTTGTTGGGCAGAATATTTGGTACCTCTCGTCGTTTTTCAACTTGACGCTGTCCGTGCTCAACCTGTGCGTCCTGCCGCTGCACGTGACGACGGCCAACAGCAACGTCGTGCTCGCCATGATGGCGTCGACGACCGTCGGCCGCTGGTTTGAGCTCTGGCTCAGCATCGACGGGTTCATCGTGCTGTCCGGGTCCGTCTTGACTTCGTACGTCGGGATCACGGGGCTGGCGAAGCGACTCGCCAAAGACCGCGTGCTCCCCGAGTTTTTCTTGGTCGAAAACGCATGGCGCCACACGAGCCACTACATCATCCTCGCCTACTTTGTCGTGGCCACGAGCCTCGTGTGGATTCTCGAAGGCAACGTCGTCATGCTCAGCAGCGTGTACTCGTACGCGTTTCTCGGATTGCTCGTGCTCTTTGCCGTCAGCGCGATGCTGTTCAAACTGAAGCGGAGCCAAATGCCGCGCGAAACGACCGCGCCGTGGTCGGCGTGCATCGTCGGGCTCTTCATGAGCTGCATGGGCTTTTGGGGCATCCTCATGGGCGACCCCAAAGTCTCGGTTGTGTTTGCAACGTACCTGTTGACCGTGTCCGGGCTCATCCTGCTCATGCTCGAGCGGCTCTTCGTCCTGCGCATGATCATGGTCGTGCTCAAAACCATCAGTCCGTCGCCAGCCAGCGACAAGATGCGGCTGCCACTGCTGCAATCGCCCAGCGAAGTGCTCGGCGGACCCGCCATCGTCAAGGTGCGTCGATCGTTGACAGAGCGACTCACGTCCACGCCGCGATCTAGGCCATCAAGACCATCAACGAACCGCCGATCGTGTTCTTTTGCAAACATCCCGACCTCCAAGTTCTCAACAAAGCTGTCTTGTACGTGCGGCGCAACGAACACACCGACAACCTCCGCATCGTCCACGTGTACTCCCGCGGCGGCGCGCCGCCCGCCGCATTCCACGACATGGTCGCCGTGCTCGACTGCATGTACCCCAAGCTGCGGGTACGCAGGGAGACCTCGCCGCCGCCGTCATGACTCCCATTTGTTTTGTAGATTGATTCGGTGGTGGTCGAGGGCGAGTTTTCCCCCAGCACTGTGCACTGGCTGTCCCACGCGCTCAACATCCCGACCAACATGATGTTTATTCGCCAACCCGACAACATGGACGCGCACAAGGTGTCCATGCTTGGGGTGCGCGTCATCACAGGCTAGCGATGTTAGCCAGACAACGGACCGTACCGATCGGTGCGGCCAGTGTGAATCCACAATCGATTCCATCGACAAATGAGCTACCATGTTTCCCGCGCGCAACTTGGATTTTACAGCGCCTTGTGCAAAAACAATTCGTATCCGTGGCCCAGCAGCAGCGCAACGTCGCGCTCCACGTCGCGGGCCGTCACCGACCACCCATGTCGATGCAGTTGCGTGTACAGTGGCGCGAGCACGTCCCGCAGCACCGTGCGAAAATGATGCCACTTGTACACGAGTTGGTCCAGCACGCGCGCATCCGAATGCTGCGCTGTAAACCCCGTCCCGACGAGTTCCAGCCGCATGCGCGTCATTTCTAGCCAGCCACCCATCAGCGTCACACATCCACATGCAACACACTCGAGAATGACCTTGCATGATCGACGGGTTGTTGCAATACCACCAGCACCCGTACAAGTGCACGTTGGCAAACTTGTTTGCGACCACCGTCGCCTCATGCTGATTGACGCGCGACAAAAACGTCGCAAGGAATTTCACCTACACGCAGCCGACAGCAAGCATCCTGTCCAGCACATGCCATGTACCTTTGGGTTTTGCTTGGCTAAGCGGGACAGGATCGACACGTCCGTGACCGCAACGCCATCGCCGGCCACACCCAGTCTACGCCGACATGCTGTGGCTCGTCGACCTCGCATGACGCCACCATCCTACCGAGGATTCAACTGGCGCAGCGCGCCAAACTTGAGGGCGAGCGGCAGGTGCGTCGACGCCGCGAGAGGCAGCAGGACATGCTGGAGCAACATGGCGCCGTTGGGCTCGATCGACGTCGAGTCGACCATGTCCACGTCCTCGTGCAGCTCAAACGTCGCCGGCACGCTCGCCATGAAGTACACGGGGCGGAGAATCGCCAGCCACTCCGTCAGGTACGTCCGGACGCCATCCAGGGTGTGCGGCAATTGCCTAGAGGACGTCATGCGCGCCGCCTCGCCATGCACACACCTGGAATCGAGCGCTGGGCCAAGCGATTTCCAATCCCCCAACAAGACCTGGTCCACCCGCAGCGCTGTCTTGAACTGGTTTGCGTTGTACGGCGCGTGGTCCATCCAATACTGCGCCTCGTCCGCATCGAACGGGATATTTGTCATCACAACATGCCGGATTTTGGCGAGGCAAAACACGGAGTCCACAAAAGCGCGCTTGTCTTGCGCCGCATACCAGTCTATCCACCATCATCATCCGAGGCTCAGTCTCCGTTTGTATTCAGCTTTGCAGACACGTCGACCGCACCTCGAATCCCCTTCAAATCCCGCGCGGCCACCAGCTCGGACAGCCCGAGCAAATGCAGCGTCGTGATAACTCCTTGGCATCCTTCCGAGAGTGGCGACCGATCGATAAACAAATGCTGCCAGATCGCATCCGCTTGGCGCGCCGTCGACCAAGTCTACCCAAGGCATGCACAGCTATCGATCGATGGCCCGCACGACTCATCACAAAAACCAAATGCGATCGCCACCCCGACCACCAACGACGTGCATCTCGTACCATAAACATTTCGGGCATGACCGGCGCCGTCATCAAGTACTCGGCGACCAGGTAATGGTACGTCAGTAGGGCATCGATGCCCCAAAGCATGAGCGACTCGTGCGATGGTGGAAATAAATGCGTGTGCACGTCAACCACCCATGCGTTCTCGACCGCGTACGCCACGTGCTGAATGATAGCGGCTTCGTCGGCGAGCCCCGTGGTCGCTTGGGTCACGAGCTCAAGAAGGACTTGCAGCACGGGAGTCGGCGGGTCCCTATGGCATGCAAAGCCCACTTCAGGGGTTGCAACCTCTTCCACGTACGTGAAGAATCGACGGTAAAGGACCGCTACGTTGTCGGCAAACGTGTGCCATCGCTCGTCCATGCCATCCTCATGGCCATCCAAATCCTGGAGAAGCGTCCGAACCAGCGTCGCAGTGGCTGTTTGGGCTTCAGCAGGGGGCATCGACGCCACCTCGACGCGCGTTTGGCGCAGCAACAGCGGGACATCGCCACGTTCGCCATCGCGAAAGTCGTACTCGCCACGACAAAAATTTGCTTCCAGGCCCGTCGCATACTGCCACTTGTCGGGAGCCCCCACGACCACCGTGGCAGCGACATCGTCCACTTTTCCTACCCCACACTCGTTACAAGCTGCGCCATGCGTGGGGCGGGCAAGTCGACAAACGACTTGGACTCACCTTTGAACTGTTTGCCACGGGCTGTTACAAACCCGTCGTCGACGGGGGTGAGGAAGCGCAGCACGCACGCGGTGGCAAAGGCAAACTCTGCACTGGGCACATACGTTGGGTTCATCTACACACGTCCACCGTCACGAAGGCGCACAAGTTGCCATCCAAGCGTCCTCGCCCACTCGTCGTCATGCATGGACCACGTCTCACCTTGAAATGGCGACCCACCGTCGCAACCAACCGCATCTTGTACTTCGCCCATGCATTCTGCGCCACAAAAAACGTGTCCATGCCAAAGTATTTGTGCTGCAGACGAAACACCCAGTCCTTGTACACTTGGTGGATGCACCCCTGCAAAAACAAGTTGGCATCGTCCTCCTCGTCCTCCCTCTCGACACAATCCGTACGTAGGAAAGGCCATGCGCTTGCAGTCCCGGCGCCAAGTCCCGGCGGAACAGCTCATCCAAGTACGTAAACATGGCCGGGGGCGCTGCAGTCGTGGTTGGAATCTTCGATACGGCCAGCGCGTACACCATGGCCGTGTGGGTCGCGTTCGCAATGCCAAGCTTGAGCAAGTGATCTTGCGCCAGTTCATCTAGCATGGCACGTGACTCTACCGTGCGTGGTGGAATCGAAGCGTACTTGGCTGGGTTCGAATGTGCACGCCAGGAATGGTCGTCCACGACGCGGGAAGCTTTCGCATCACATCTTCAACGACAAGCGCTTTCGCCGGCAAGGGCTCGGCATACGGCACCAACGCATTTGTTGGACGGCTGGCAGTGATACGATCCACCATCGAGTTGTGGAAGGTTACTTGCGCCTCGACAAGTGCTTGGAGCGCGGGGGGAGTCAGGGCCAGCACAATCCTTTCACGTCATTTGAACAACACAATGACGAGGAGAAAAAACGAACTTGCGAATGGTATCGCCGTTGGCAGCGACGTTGTCTGTGTTGATCACGGACAAGGGTTTGTCTACGAGCCGTGCGTGGAGGGAATTGCGGTCGGAGACACCGACGTCGTACCAGGAAAGTATTCGACGAAGGCAGAGAGGAATGCCGCTAAGTCCTTCATGGCCTGGCTCGACGGATGGATCCCGGCCTCTGTCACACCCACTCCAATGAATCGAAGCTGTGTAAACTCGGGAATGCGCCGGAAGAACGCTTCCTTCTGCGCAGCGACGCCTAGCGACGCCACTCCTGCTACGCGGACCTAGTCGACATTGTGACGCCGCTGCCGCAACATGAGACCAGTACGTACCACTTGGCTTGACACTGACCCATCACGTTCCACCGTATCGACTTCGTAGCGCAAATTGTTGAGGGTGCACTGCTTGACAAAGTCGTCGCCCCGAGTTTGTAGCACCACGACGTTCAAGTCAACATGGCGCCAAGCAGGAACCAACACCGCGCGCTACACGCGCATCGATCAAGCGGTCAGGACGCACGCATGGATGCACATGCTCGTAAAGCGCGCACACGTACCAGGAAGCGACCTGCTCCAAAGCAAATGGCGTCCACGGCAGCCCCCGGCATGCTCATCGTCGTTGGCAGAATGAATCTGTCGTTTGCGATCTTGCAACTAATTCAAAATAATCCAACGGACATGACTAATTCAATCTTGCTGGTCAAATGCATGGACGAATCCGCTCAAAGTAAACTTTCCGAATCCGGTCAATGAAATTTCCGCTGGACCATCCAGCACGCCATGCCGCCCAATGCTCCTGCGCCTTTGCGGCCATACACGACGCGGTAGCGCAGCTATTGTACGCTCGCGGCACAACGGCGTCGAGAGAAGCTTCGTCCGCGAGTCGTGGGAGTCTTGCTCTTTGCACATCTTTGAAATGTCATCTTGGCAGGTTAACCGGAATGGGACGGAAATTGAATTGCGTATCCGTACACGTAAGAAAGTACTTGAGGTGCACGGCCATGGCGGATGCCCGAAACGGTGGGGGAAGTGACGTGGACAAGGGCGCGCTGAGCCCAGGTGTCGCTGGAGTTATCCGCAGCGCGCTGCGGACATCCCTTCGATCCCTCGCACCAAAGCTGGCTCGATATCGTCCACTTTTTCGGCCTCCTCGAGTACCCGTGAAGGAAGGCACAGCCATGTTCCACGGGTGGGCAGGCTCTTGAGTAAGCCGTGCCATGACAAGCAGCGGATTGAACATAGGGTGCTGGAAGCAGCGCATCATCAGGCTGTGCACAGCGCACCCGAACATGAAAAGGGATACCTTCGACAACGTTTGGTGGCTCAAGCACCCGGGCTTTTTCGCACTGCTGCATTGGGTACACATCACCGTCCGAGGCCCTTGAGCACTAAGCAAGTCGCCTTGTTTCCGTAGGATTCGCAATGTGGACTGCATACGACGTTGCTATCGAGCACTTGTCGGAGAGTCGACGTGTACGGCGGCAAACCTCATCCCATCTCCGTGCAAAGTTCTCTGTGTTTCACGGCGAGTTTAGGCAGACAAGTCTCTAGGTTCGACCGCCGTCTTCTCGATGATTGCTGGCGGTTCAGCTGGGGCTCTTCACGGGTGCCTCACTGGCGTCACGGACAAGTACTTCCACCAGCACGATGGTCCGCACCGACCGCGTGGCGTCGCCATCAGCCATGGGGTATCCCACATGGGCATGTTCGCGTCGTACGAAACGATCAAGGCGTACCTGGTCGATTATCACGAGGTTTGACCAGTATCATCGTGGGACCAGCGCTTTCACGATATTGCAGTGGCATGCCACGTCGGCCATCGTCGCAGCCGGAGCCGTGTCAGGCATCGTGGTTGATCTGGTATCGCACGCCACGGCGCCGTTCGAGCGCCATGACTTGTACGACCATGGGCAGAGAAATTCTTTGGTCTTGACAGGTTGACATAGTGCGGACGCGTGGCGACATTTGAAACATGTGAAGATGCCGCCCCTGGCCGAATTGGCTATCTCCGCCGGGGCCACCGTCGTGGGTGTGTACGCTCTGCGCCCTGGAAATGCATGACGCAAGTTGTAGGTTGGATCGCGTTCGAAAAGGCAAAAAACGTACAAATGGACCATCATGCTCCATGACGCCCGAGCGAACTGGGCCACCACCGCGGCGACGAGGCTTGTTCAGCGTCGTCACATTCCCCACAAGTCCAATGCTCCTTTCACGAAACCATCCGTCTTTGCTATAGATCTAGCAAAAGCGGGGTGGTTCGGCAGGGGAATGGACTCGGCCAATGCTGTTATTGCCATACCGACTGTGGGTTGTTGGCTCAACCTGTTCATGGAATGCACGTGGCCTCGAAATGGGCATCGTTGCCACCGCATTTACGTGGACATCTTGTCTAGATTGAACCCGAGACCAGCTTCATGTTGGTGTGTATTTGGGAGATGCTTGGGACCTGGGTGGGTCGATCGAGCCGCCGTTGACGCGGCCACCCGAGTTGCAATATTTGGGAATGTTTGTCATTCTTTTTTGGTACACTGTCGGATCATTCCAATTCCAGAACGCATTTTGAGCCATTTTTTCACGTAGAGAATTGGGCGCATCGCCAGTTTAGGAACACGTTAAAGTTGTGTGGAAGTTTGGTGTCGCAATGTGACATGGACCATATTTTCGTTCACTGATGGAAAACCATTGCCACTCGCTGCACAGCGCACAGGGTGGCGGCGCCGGACCGTCCAGCCGC